ATTGATTGCTTTTCTCTCTTCTTCAGGATTTTTCAGAAGTAATTAATAGCATTGTAATTGTAGAGATCCCCAAGCCTATTAACCTTAACCTGGTTTGGATTCCATTCTAAGGCTGCTGTTCTGACATACTCCCGCTTCAAAAGATTTTTAATACCAGATATCAGCATTAATCCTCTTTTTCAGAAGAAAACATATCTTGCCAAGTTTCTTGGTGCTCTTCATTCAAGAGTTCTTGGCATTCTTCTGTTGTCATATCAGTTTCAGGTTCCATTATGAGCTCTTCAATGTTCTTTATTTCTCAGATGTGATTTTTATTAATCCTTTAGCTGCTTGAGTCTTCTTGATTATACTGTAATTTTTTTTATTTTTTAGATATAAGATTGAACTGTGCCTTACTGTAGACATGTTCAAGCCATACTCCCCAGCAACATCAGACATCTGCCCACTCTCTACCTTTGATATTATACTCTCATCTTTCGAAAATAAAAACCAACACAAAACTTAATGAGTGTTACACAACGGTCTCACGAATACTATAAAAAAAAAATTATTTCTGTCAGAAAAATAAAAGGCTGGAATTACAAGGAAGAGTTTCAAAGTTCGGAGGAATACTATCAGATCAGTATATATTGGGTTGAGTGTCGATGTCATTGCCTCCCTGCGCTCCAAAATGTTTCGAATTTTGCTTGAAGACAAGGGAAGACCAATCAGTATTCATTATTTTATGTCACTTGTGTTTGTTCTGTGAGATGTTCGTTATCCGATCACGTGTTTGTTGTCCACACATAATCTTTCGTGAAAGCATTCGTTATCCAATTTGTTCATAGTCCAAACTGTTCGTTAACTGCTCACTGTACTAATAACAGCAACGTTAGATGGCTGACAGTTAAGGGTGTTAACCATATTCTATTCTAGATTCTATTCTATTCTTGATTTGTCTTCTATTCTAGAAAACGAATCAAGGCAGGTCAAAAAACTTCAGAAATTTTTAGGAATTTGTTCTGGATATTTTGGGCCTTGTCCCTCACCACTCCTCTACCTCATTGTGAGCCTGGCTGAACTATGATGGGCTTGAAAAAAAAAAAAGGGCTTTCTGTTCTGTGGACCTTTAGTGCTCACAGGGCAGAAAGAGTTAAAAAAAAAAAGTGATGTAGTATAAACTAATTAAAAATTATTGACAGTTACTGACAAAAGTGTAGCCAACATCCTGATACCTCAATTGAGGTCTTATTAATAGATATAATATTTAAGAGAAATACTGTTATACAAATTTTTTGCTCAGATAAGATTCAAATACTGTAGATAAATTAGATATAACTGATATTTACATACTTAAACTTATCAAGATTTATATTATATTGTTCTATTACAGTAGAGCGTCGATTATCCGAAAGTCAATCATCTGAAACGTCAATCGTCCGAAAGAATTCCAGTCGGCAAATTTAGATTTTCGCCAGTGCTGTGGCGCTGCAATCTTTGGCTATGTCTTGGGCTACTCAAATATTTTACGTTTTTGATACTAAATTAACTTCTGAAGTATAATTTTTTATTGTTTTTATATTTTTCAATATATTTATTTTGTTTGTACAAAATAAAAATAATTTTTAACGATACAATAGTCACAATTATTATTTTAAAAAGTTTACATTAGGCTTAACATCGGCGAAAATTCAATGCAAAGCGACATGCAACGGAGAAAAATTTCAACATGGGATAGGTTAAAAAATATTTTTTCGTACATAATCGGTTACCCAAAATATCGATTTTCCAAACAACCCCAGTCCCAATTGATTTGGATAATCGATGCTCTACTGTATTCAAAAAATTAAATAAGACTAATGAAACATTTTTAAAATTAACAAGATTTTTTCCCAATTATCAAAATTCACTATTTCCTGCTTTTTTGCTGATTCTAATAATATTTAAACCAAGTCCCAAGTACATTTCCAATATCCTACAATGTTGGAATCATCTTTGGAACTACTTTGTGAAAATATATGTATTAAATAGAATATGATACAATTTCTTCTGTTAATGTATTCCTGATGACAAGCCGAGAGGCTTGAAAGTGCTTGGAAACTGATGATATGAAAGATTTAAAATATAAAACCAAAACTTAGTAAATGAGTATTTTGATAAACTGTTCATTTTTCCCAGCAATAAACTAATATATATCAACATTTAAAAGTACAGAAGTGTATTTACTTACAGGTTTGCTGCCTCAGGTAATGCAGCATCAAATGGGTTCTATTGTTGCTATAAAAATCACAAATTACATGATTTTTATAACTACTTAATTGAATTTTATGCTTACATGACTTAGTTCTGGTTACTACTTCATAAGGTGTAAGGAATTATCAAATTTTGATTAAAAGATAAGTTCATTATTTATTAAAGCATTTATATTTTTGATACAAAAATATTAAAATAACAATAAGTTATGTGTTTTAAGTTAAAAACCACATAACTCTTGAGAGAAACTGAAAAAATAGTACAAAATTGTTTCAATAATGGCACATCATTTTATTTAGTTTTCAATAGAAAAAATTCATAATATAATCATTGATAAAACTGAAATGATTTTGATACCATTATCACTGAGTACTATATTGTCAGATGTCAGAATTACACATATAATGTAAACTTTCGTTGAATTATTATTGTGAAGTAAAACAAGGAAGGTGTAGTAAAATAAGTAAAATTTATATATACATATATAAATATTTAAACTCTACAGTGAACAGTGAATAATATGGTAACATAGAAGAAAAAACAAAGGAAAAATTTAGAGCTAATTATCAGAAGTTAATTTATTGACTAATAAATCAATTCTAAATATATCATTAATACAATATTGTACAGTAGGCCTATTGTTAAAGCTTTAAATTAAGTGTCAGCCAACTGTAGCTATTAGTGTGTTATATTTAATAGGTCAACAAAACAAAGAATGTATTTAATTAAAAACCCTCATTATAATTTATGTAATTAGAAAATGTTGAATAGAATAAAGAATAAACTTTCTGGTAATGAAATCATAAGGAATAATTTTTGTTAAATTGTTATATAAAATATAACTAAATTTGGCAATACAAAGAGTACACAAAATTTTGCAATTTTATTAAGTCATCTTAAGGTATTGTAAACAGAGAACTAAATTCAAGAAAAATTGGAATGTAAAAAGTCCTGGTCACTATATATATATTTCTTATAAATTATTAAACTAAATAATCTTTTTGTGATTATTACATTAAATTTTAAACCAGAGAAAATAAAGCAATTGATTTAAATAGGACAGTTTAAATATATTCATTTTAAGTTTGCTTTATTTAAGCATAAGCTTTTCTAACCTATAGACTGGAAATTCTATTTTAATCCTATACACTATAATTCAGTTAAGTTCTTGCATTAGAAGTTTTCTTGTGTAAGAAATTAATTTCAAAAGGCTCCATTTTTTTATGATTATTTGTTTTATTAAATTAATTATTTTATACAGTCGACCCCCTATAACACGGTAGATACGTTCTGTTCTTTACGAAATTGATGTTCTACGAGTCCTTAAATACATGAGCCAATCACAGCCCGGCATGTATGCAGTTTACGGACTACATGCTGTTTGAAAGGTTTTCTTCCATAAAATTAATCGATTCTAGACTAATTCGACTCAACATTTTCAAAATACGTATAATTTTTTGGGAATAATCCATATAAACCACGTTATAAATAAAAAATTGTAGGATTACTTACCAAGTGTTTAACTATGCCATTGCTTAAGCATACAATTAAGCTTGTTTTCGTTGTGGAGCCTGTCATCGAATGGCGCTCGCGTGCTTCCTGATAAATTATTTTTTTTGCGAAAAATTCACTGAATTTTGGAGACATCATTAATATAAATATAATTTTTATGGACGTTAAATAATAAATGGTTTTTAGTAGGTCCACTGCTCGTTTAAACTCAACAGTTTGTNCAGAATTGTTACAATGATCATGATAATGATTAAATAATGCCTTATTACTTTAAAATATTGAATATAATAAAATATTTTAAAAATACCTCAAAATCAATTTTTGATAGATTTTGGATGAACAACAATAGCAAATTAGAATTATATAATTCCTGAGCTAATTGTGCAACAACTATATCAGTCTGAGGTTCTTGATCGCTCGTACCATAAAGCATATTTTTCATCAGTACTAGATTCTTTGATACATCTTCCTGAGCCTAATTGGAAATTAAAATAATAATAATAATTAATAAATTATACTCAAATTTTTTTTAAATATTTAAAATAAATTTACCTTTTCAGCTTTTTTATCTCCTTTTTCTAAAACAAGAACAGCCTCTTTCAGAGCTTTAACAAGCTCATAAGGACCTTTTTGGGATTTTCCAAACAATGGCATTTTGACTGCTAAAAAGCAGTTAAAGCAATGCCTAAAATTTTAATAATCTATTAGAACAAAATTCTTAGAAACTAGTTACTATTTAATAATTAAAAAATTTTGAATTTAACCTGATTATTTTGCACTTCAAGCTGATATATATGCTCTTGTATTAAAATTTTTCAAAAACAATATTTTTATTTTTATTATTTAGAGAATTTTTATAAATATAAAAATTCTATACATTAATCCCACAATATTGATGTCCTTATGTAATATAACACCTTAATAAAAATAAAAACATCAGTTTTAGAGGAAAATATTTATTAAAACATAACTTTCTCATAATTAAAAGTATTCAATAAGCATAAAATATGTTATTTAATTGATTTTTATACTAAGTCAAAACATTTTATTGAAATTTTGATGTAAAAAGTTTCAAAGACCAGGAACATATATGTATAAAATGACAAATAAGTCTTCTGTTCCAGTAAACAAAAATATAGTAAACTAATTCAGAAGCAATTATCTATCAGGAAACTAATTTAATAGCTTCAATCATAAGTATTCCTAATAATTTTACATATAATTTCTTCAGGAAATAATAAATAAACCTAAGAGTTACAATTAAATGACTGAAAATATTATCATAGTATTGACTAGTAGAGTGAAACATGCTATAATAAAAAATATAGATGTATATAAAATTATTAACAGTTATTTTCTATACATGCCAATTACAATTTTCATCATTTTTTAAAATAAAGTTATAGACATTTGGCCAAAATATCATGTTACATATGTAATTGTTTATATATATAAATTACAGAGAGGTGGGTAAAGATAAAGTACATTTATGAAAGCCATTGTCTCTCTAGAATGCAGAAATTATGAAATAAATTTAATGAATGGAAATAAAAATTTTTCAAAAATTCTAAATTGCATAAAAAGTTAACCTTTATTTCTGAGGGAACTTGTAACAGACAATTACATAATACAGTCAAACCTCATTAAGATGCTCCCCCTTAAGCTGCCACCTCACTGATTGCTAAAAATAGTAGGTGAACAGATCTACATGTTTTTGAGATGGGAAATTCCCAATAAACTGCCCTCCATAATCCGCCAATTTAAAAGCCAGCACAGCACAAACATGCACCTTAATATATCTTTTGAATTTATCTTTGCTTCCTGATTAAAACAAACTACATAAGATGGAACTTAGCTTATTTGTCTCAGCAGAGGTTATTCTTTGGAAAATTTCCACATACATTTAATGAAAAACTCTTCCATCACAATTTAATTGTCTAAAAGCTATATTCACAACACTTTTGTTTTCAATAGTCACAGGTACAGGAAATAAAGCTCAAACTACATGTAAATTGTTTAATTTCTGACTTATCAATCATTCAAAAGGTTCCTGTCAATCACTTTTAATTTGGTAGTCTGAGAGTCTGGAAGGCTCTTGGGGAACATTCTTTCATTAAAAGTCCTATTATCACACATTTGGAAAGTGTTCATTAAGGGTACCACCCAATGTCAGAATATTAGAAGCTCTCAAGGTGCTCTTCCTTTCACAAATTAGTCAAGTCAGTCCCAGCTAATTTCTGCTACCACCATCTGCTGCTGGTTTTCAGTCATAAAGGTGGTGATGCTGTGGATAAAATAATGTTGGGAAAGATGATGAGACAACCCAATATAAAGGATGCCAAAGAGGGATTGTTGAAACTAAAATTTTTTCAAAAAACATTGCAACAATGGTAGTGTAATGTGCGATATCAGACCTGGTCCTGAAGACATGAAAGTTCAACAGTGGCTGATACTGGTCACACATTGAACAACTTCCTTGACAATCACTGCTTTCAATATGGTGGCCTGCGAGTACTCTCCCAAGTGACCACTTAGCCATCTACTGTATATTTAGACTGTATGACTAATTCACTGTTAGCAGCCAATTCAAACAGTTTTCTTGTGCAACATGTTTAACTTAAGCTTATATGAAACTTTATATCCAAATAAGTAATTTTCACAGGAAAAAAGTAAATTGTTAAAAATTTAAACTACATTTTAATCCAGTAACAAAAATTTAATGCTGAATTTCATTCTTTACTAGTTAAGGTAAATTTTGGAGTTTTTAATATTAAATACATCCAGTATTTAAAGAGTGGTATAAATTGCTTAATTGTATCAATATCAGAGTTGCCAATCCAGGAAAAATAGGCTGATAAGTGAAAATTACCTTGTTTAATATTTGGGTCAAAACAGTATATAAATGTGTATATATATACTTACAATATGAGAAAAAGGCACTGAAGAAAATGATGCATGAGAAAATGCACCATTTAACGGAAAATGGTAAATGAGAAAAAGGCAATAAGAAAAAGTAGAGATGCCAAAGAAAACCTGTCTATTTATACTGTTTTTAAAACCACCGTTAGTCAACTGACTTTTTTCTAATTAATTATAGCAAGAAATTTAAAATTTTGGGAAGGATTAATTTTTGAATTCAAATTGAAAACGGTTTACAATTGAAATTGTAAGCCAATCAAAAGCATAATTTCCAATTTCCAAGCATTAAATGGTTCAGAAAAATCAGATATTTAACTGTCAATACTGGAATCAAACTTAACAAATCTCTTAAATATGTAAATTCTAAAAATAATTTCAGAATATTAATGAGTAATATACACTTTATATCTGACTACGAGAATGAAATTATTTTTAGAATTTACATATTTAGGAAGTTTTTACCAATCCCATTGCTTTTAATTTGATTTTATATTAACAAATCTCATTTGTAAGATAATTTTGTGCAAAAGCTTGAAAAAGGAGGAAAGCAATGCTAATTGGTGGAAATAGTGAAAAGGAAGAAAAGGATAGAAAATGGTGCAAAATGGAGATTAAAAATTTAGTTTAAATGGATTGGGGAATCATTTCCTGGTGGTTGGTTATGATTTCCCCCCCAAAATAAGAGCTGCATTAAAAGGAGTGCATCATCACATATTCCTAAGCTTAGTTATGAACTTTTTCGAGACTGCCAACCTCACTAAAACTGCCATATTTGTGATCAAACAAACAGTGGCATCTTAATGAGATTCAACTGTAATCATTTTTTGGAACTTTTTAATAATATAATGAAGCATTCAAAAATATTATAAAAGTTTTAAACTCTTATTTTGAAATGTCCTAGAATGGTTTGTATAAAACTGTTTTGCCACATCTGTTAAACATCCATAATGTTTAAACAAATTACAAAAACTAAAATTCTAAATTCCTATAATTATAATGTATAATTTATAAATATCTATGCAATTGCAATTTTTTATGATTTATTAAAAAAACTAGTTTATTTTTCTTTGAACATTAAAAAAGATCTTCATTAACTAGTAGAATACCAAATAAAAAAATACAAGAATATTTCTTTTAATTTTGTTATAACATTCATTTTATATCACTATTTCCTTTTTAATATAATTACTTAGCATTTCTAGCAAATATGTATAATGTATTTGATAATATTCTATTTCATTAACTCCATTTTTCATATTTTAAATCAAACAATCAACAGACTAAGATGCAATTTTTTTCTCATTCTTGTTCAAATTCAAAGATTTCAATAAATAAAATTATAATTATACTGAAATCATTTTTCAGAAAGTAACCATAAAACATTAATTTACCTTTGTTTAGAAGATAACTTTAAAATCACTTGCAGAATTGATGATTCTGTCTTGAATTATATCTTATCTTCAGAAATTAGAAGTGAAAATACCTTAATCTGCAATAAACAGATAATATCTATTAATAAAAAAAAAACATCTTAAATCAACACTATTAATGAAAATTTTCAGTATTTATTTTAATACTTTAGAACTAATTGTTACAAAGACAAATTGTTCCTTGACTTCCATAAATTCAAAAGCTATTTGCAAAAAAGATACTATACTCCAAACAATTTTATTTATTTTTTGCTTTGTTATTTTTTTTGGTCATTCTTGTGTTCTTTTCTCATTTTTATTACTATCATGTTGTTTTTTCTTATTTTCTCTTAAATCTCATCGCATATTTCCCCCTTTTTAATTAATTGGGATTGTTGTAAAGTGGGGTAGCAAATATTGTCCGCGCAGCATTGCCAAATTCAAAGTAAATAATTTTCAGGAGGATGCAATAAAAATTAAATGAGGTATAAAATGCAGACTGTAGTTTTAATCTTTGATCATCAGTTGTTGTTTTTACCTATTTTATATTAATATATATATATATATATATATATATATGTGTATAAATGTGTTTTTCACACTCAAATCTCTTTCCTATTATTTATTTGATTTCTTTTTTTTATTTATTTACAAAGATAAGAGGCTCTGGGTCCCATGGGCCTCTTCCTGGTTAGGTACTTCCATAATTAGAATTACATCTGTTTAATTAAAGATTTAATGCTGACTTTTAATTAAATAAAGCTTTTATTTATTTATTTTTCACATGGAAAATGTGCGTAAAAACTCAATGTTTATTTAAATCTTTTTATTTTAAGAATAAAAAATACTGTAGAAGAATTCCTTTAATTACACAAATAAAAAATATGTATTTTATAATATTTTTATTATATATAAATACAAACATAAATATTCTTATTTATTGTCTTATTTATTTATTCATATGACATATTTTTCAGCATTATTTTAAAATTGTTATAAAACAAACTTTTATGATTTTTCCAGATGTAAATTTTAATTTACATTCCTATTTATTAATATTGTACTATAAGTTTTGTTTTGCAGATCATAATTTAATAATTGTAGATTCAACAATTCAGATATTCATTATAGATGTAGTATAGTTATATAGCTATAGTTTAATATAGCTAATAAATTATTTATACTCAAAAATAAATAAATAAATAAATATTTTCATTGCAAAACTTTCAGAAGAAAATTAATTCAAATAAATATGTATGATTCTTTTTATGGTTAATTTAATTATAATTTAAAATAGTCTTGTTTAGGTTCAAATTCCTAAATAATTTTAAGGTTTTAAAGTCGAATATTAATTATAATTTACTTTAATTGATATTTTTTAAAATAAAATATTAAATTATGTAATTAACTATTAAAAAATTATAATTTTTCATGTTCAGATATTAGCTACTATCACTGGAAAGAAAGCCTTCTAGTATATTGGGTTTTCTTTCCAGTGGCAAATAGAAAAAATCCTTTCTAAAACTGTAAATTTTAGATGATTATCATCATTACTATTAATAAAAAAATATAAAAAAACAACTGCAAAGTATTATTGGTGATATAGTTCAATTAGTCTTTTTTTATTTTTAGTTTCATATCTAAATGACAATTAAAGAACAATAAGAATTAGAAATCAAATCTTTTAAAATGTCTATACTGTATATTAAATCTTAAACAAATTTTAATTCTTAAGATGGAATTTTTCATTAATAAACTGACATAAAATGTTTAAAATGTAATAGACTGATGTGATTGTTTTTATTTTCTTTATAATACATAATATATTTAACGATAATGTTATTTAGAAAAAAAATGCCATTGATTTTACACGCACATTTTGTAGTGTTTTTAATACAATTTATTTAATATCGAACCGACATTTGGGAGTCTGCTACTAGACTAACTATTGTATTTATTATTACTAAAAAACATAATTTTTAAAGATTAAAATGGCTTAATATAAAGGTTTATCATTTTCGTGCGAGTACTAACTTTCGGGACGATCGAATATTAAAACTGAATTTTAGTATTTTTGTTCGTATTGACGTTGCATCGAGATAAATCTCATTTAAAATGGGTCGCGTCGTGTCGTATCACGTCTCGTCTCGTTGAATTCACATTTTTTTTCTTTTTTTTTTATTTTAAAATAAGTATTGTATACATTTCTGTCTTTACTCGCTATCCTTCTCATTGCATTTGCAATAACCCATATTATCACTGCATTCGGCCTCGTTGTGTGGACTGTAATAAGTTACTTTACTTATAACTAATGATTCGTTAGATTGAGGGCAAAATTAAAGACTAAAACAGGATTTTATAATACTATCGCCATTTAAAAATTGATAAACTGAAGGCCTGCTACAGCATTTACATCAAGAATTTTAAATTTGATGACTTGCTAATATTGTTGGTATTATTTTTCATTTAATTAATTATAGAAATTCCTGGTAAATATAAAAAACTCCAAACGAGTAATTTGAACTTTACCAAAAATCATATAAATGCCAATAGTTTTATTTATAAATAAAGATATTTTCTACGGGTATAAAACTAGAAACAGTAGCCCATTACGTTAAGGACGTTTTAATTATTTTCTCGGTTTAAAATGTGACAACATAACCCACTTATTTTAAATTAGAATGGTTAAAAAGAGTAAAAACAGACTGCAGTTTCGAAAAATGTGTTCATTTATTCCAAAACCGGAAAAGTTTATTATTGCTTAAATATTTTTCTAAGATCTAGACGTATTTAATTAATAAGAGAAATAAGTGTATCAATAATACATGTTTACTTCCATATAGAATCCAAATATATTAATAATAATTTAAAATATCCTTTAATTTATTTTCTACCTTCAAATGGGTAAAATTCAGCTTTCTTAATAATTGGATAATATATTTAATTGATAAAGCCTATTAGAAAAAGTTTATCAAATAAAAAACAAATGTGTAATATCGGTCTATGATAATATGATAGACCCCCGTTTTACGACCGCTGCTTTACAATTTACATTTTTACGACTGATAGAAATTTTCTCTTAGCGGATGTTCATTAATTACGTGTACAATTTAATAAGGGAGGTAGCGAAAAGTATATTATTTAAGACAATGGGATAGGGATAGAAGCATTGTTTAAACTTTTTAATGTATTAGTGATATACGAATTTCTTATAAGCTAGTCATATACTAGTCATGTGAATAAACATATTTGCAAATTTAAGTCATTTCTTCAATATCAGGGGGTACTGTACATGAACTATTATACACGTAATTAGTGTACATGTATTGTACATAATGGGGAGGGCGTTTGCCAAAAGTACATCATTGTACACAATGGGGAGGAGTCGAAATTGATTCAACAACTGTACACGTAATTAATGGAAAATCCCTTATAACTACGAAATGTAAATTCTTGGTAGTTATTTTCATATAGTATCAATATAATTAAAACACTAACCAATGATCTAATGGAAAAGAGGTCCGCTCACTTTACGACGTCGCTCTTTACGACGGTTTTCCAGTAACAAATTTGTCGTAAAATCGTAACACTTACGCAATGAATTTACTCACCTGTTTTCAAATTACAAAAATAATAATAGTTCAATTAAAGTTTAGTGCATGTAAATTTAATGAAAAATCACAATTTAAATAATTTAAAATAAACATTTTTTCCTTCTTTCAATATTCTGGACGCCAATAAAATATTACACCATTTATAACGCAAAATATTTATTGATTAATAGCAGAATTAAAAAAAAATTAATTTCGTGCCTCTCTAATTTATTTTTTAAAAAATAATAATAAATTTGCATTATAATCTTCTACTTTTAAATAGAATTGCCCATCCCACCCACCCGGAAATGGTACGTACATCCGTCGCTAGGCAACCATGTTTGCTGGTTTTTGTACCTTGTTCCCCGTGCGATGTCGAAAATAATTCCATAATGAGAATATTGTGCCTATTTAATGCGGAACAACTAAAGCCCGAAACTTTATATTCATTATTTATAATTACATCGCAGCGTAAAATAAAATAATTTTTCTCAGATTGACGAAAATGGCTCCCAGTCACGTGATTACAGTCAAAGACGGAATTATGAAATAAATACGTTTATAATTTACGTATTAATAACGAAACGACTTTATTTTATAATAATAAATTACTAACGGCGAATGTCTAGCGTTTTGAATTTTAATTTTATTTTAATTTTTTTTTTTTAAAGGAGTTGTGCGGAATGACCAAGTTTGCCACGTGACTGCGAACCCACGCAGTCGTCTTAGCTANATATATATATATATATATATACACACGTGTACATATACATATATATACATATACATGTGTGTGTGTGTGTGTGTGTGTGTATATATATATATATACACACACACACAATAAACAATTGCAATTTAGCATGGTCTTGAAAAATTCAATTCTCTTTTTATACAATGTATTTTAATTTAACACATTTTAATAAATTTGCCTATTTAAAAATCTTTAATTTTAATTCTAAAAAACAATATTCATACTTCCTTTTCTAGAAAACTGCTGTTTTTTAAAAATGTAGGCTGCTATACCAATACTCCCTCATGGCTATACATACATTTTAATATTTTTTTTTTATTCATGCTCATTTTTTGATTCTCACCGTATAGGCACCTGAGAGGCCTTTATATATGTATATCCATAAACACACATACTCAATTTCTAATAATGGAGAAAGTCTATCAAACTATTAGAATAGCAATAGCTTAATTTAATGAATTAACATAGCAGTTTAACTACTATATAGCCATTTTATTATATTATTAAATCTCATATGAAACCACAAGCCTCAATAAAAAAAAATCATAAAAATATTCATTTGTTAACCTTATCAATATTAAAATTCGGTATACCTTCTGAATATTTATTGACAGCGGATACTGTCTGTGATTAGTTTGTACATCATCTTGTGTACATCATTTTAGTCAATATTATAAATAATAATCAATTTATAATATTGAATAAAATCTCATTATCTATATACAATTAATTTAGT